TAATTAATTATTGCAACTTAATTGATTACCAAGCTATTAAAATCGTGCCATTTGAATCGATTTCTCATCGGATTTCTGATAAAAAATCATGATTTTCACAACTTTTTTACATGGGATAATGAACAACAATCCAATTAGAAATCATGTATGAAAAATAATAATAATGATCTTGAGGTTTTAATCAGTTTGGATGAAAAGTAAGTTTTGTAGTTTTATCTTGAAAATTTTAATTTAATGGAAAGTTACGATCATTCTTTCGATCGTTGTCAACCTTTAACATAAACTTATTACAAGATGTTATGCAAAAAGAGATTCTACAAATATATGAACACAAATAAATAGAACTATAGTCATATACATCATAATTATAATACTATTAAGCTTATACATCATAACCATAACTATGAATATTCTTAAAACTCATTCTAAAACTAATTATACTCAATTTGTTTGATACTACTATGTATCAATAGTGTATGAATATCAATAATTTTGAGATGTAAATTAACAGCAGATATGAGGTTGTGTTAAAAGGTTGATAATGATCCAATGAAGATCGAAAATTTCTATTAAATTAAAATTTTCAAGATAAAACTACAAAACTTACTTTTCATTTAAATTAGAAATCAGATTGATAATTATTTTAATTGGGAAACATAAAATATTCATCCGTTTTATGAGAATAACCAATAAACGATTTGTTTTTAAGGATTTAAGACGTATTTATAATGTGATTACATGATTTAGTGTCGTATGCTTCGCTTGCCACTATGAACATTTGTTGATAAATTTAGTTTTTGCTTTTTTACAAGTTAAAGGGTACTTTTCTTGTTTCTAGTAACTTGTATGATTAAGTTAGATGAATCTAATGATAACAATCACAAATTTTGTTTGAGGTTTACTACGTGAAAGGGTTTTTGTCATCTCAAATGTTGATCGAAGGATGTTTAAATCTAATTAGAGTGCGGAGTGGAGTAGATAAAAAGTTTATTTTCGAAGTCAAAGGTTTATATCTGATGTGAGACGTTCGTGAAGATACTTTTCAATGTATCTATATTTGTAATTAAATAAATAGGTTAAAGGTGTGGGTGTCGTGTCACTGAGTGATAGTGAACAGACATCCACACTCACTCTTTGTTTCTTGTTAATATTTATGTATTGAACCATTTCATTATATATAATGATACCGAAAGCACATCTCTTTTTAATAGATGTTTGATATAAAATGTCAACTAGTTTCTTCCAATATTGATACTATTTATATCGGTAAAAGAGAGAATCATATAATGATTGATATTATCAATAATTTAGTATTAAATATAACTCAGGAATAATATATCTGAATGTTTATTATGATTATTAGTTTCCAGTTTTAATTTTCAAATCTTAAAAAAATTTCATCACTAAAACATTTATTTTTATTCAACATGTTTTATCCGAGGAAATTGGTCAGATTGTTTATTGATGTACCTCATTTGTATAATGAAAAGTAAAAATAGAGCAATGGAAGTGATTGTTATGCACCATAAAAATAAACTTATTAGAGTTCGAATTCACTTATGGTCGAAATGGTATGTTGTGTAAATTTTGGTTGCAATGGCTCTTACTAAAACTAAATGCATAAAAAGCCATCAAATAAGTTTTCTTCTTTATTATTAGAAGATCCTATCATAATTGAATTGATTAAGTGAGAAGTAGAATATTTTCATCATCCAGTAAGTCATTTTAAAAACTAGCTATTCATACCCATCCTATTATAGGTACACATAGAAATGAGAGAGTGATCGATATCAATCCTTCTTACTTCTTGTCAAAGCAGAGAAAAATAAAGAAGATGCTGTGATACACCTTCTTTCTAATTGTGCAAGAAGTGGACAAAAAATGCAGAATAAAATAAGAAAAAGAAAGATGCGGATGAACAATATGATGGTCATGTGGAAAGCAGAAGTGAGAGAAAAAGATGAAAAATGTTAATTTAGCAACAGCAAACCTTGGCACATGATCTTTTGACGGTGACAGTTTTCTTTCGGATGACTTTACAACATGGTTTGCAGCAGCACACAGTTTTAGTTACACAACATTTTGGACCGCAGCAGCAACAATCACAACAACAAGGATCACAACAGCATGGATCACAGCATGAACCACAACCACAACCGCAACCACATCTACATCCACAACCGCATCCACAACCACAACCACAACCACATCCACAACCGCATCCGCAACCACAACCACAACCACAGCCTGGCATATTAATAGTAATAATGTAGTGAAGAATAAAACTGAAGTAAGATGAGAATTGATTTGTGAAACTATGAGAATAGATGTGGGTATATATATAGTGACAGAGAAACGAACAAAATTGTTTTCAGTCAACAACAACAACAATTCACTACTGTCTTCACATGACAATATTTAATATGTACATGTCATAGAAAAATACAGACCGAGAGACATACGTAACTCTTTGTTAATATTGATGCAATACAACAAAAATATGAAATTCACACTTGTTACCAATGTTTTTCGTTTGATTTGTTTTGATAGTATATAAAAAACATTTAAATTTAATTTCACATTTACCTTGTGACCAAAACTCTCAAAGGGTAAATGTCATTCGATACACCTTTTGATAAAAAAATATTGATTCTTACGTTATAGTACGCACACCGTAATATCACCAAATTACGTCGATATCATAACACAACTCAAGGAAGAGGTAAGTATTGTTTTCATAAATGTTAAGTATAATATAAATAGAGCAAATCCTGTCGTTTCTACTTATAGATGATCAGTGAATAGCTAATTGATTATTGAGGATGTATCTCACTCACACCTTCAATGTAAGCTGTTAGTCAAGATTAAGAATTTATTTAAATTAGAAATGGAACACTTCGTATATAAGTTTTAAGCTCCTTGAGGAAAAAATTCTGAATAATCTTTCATATTATTTGTTGTCTTGTATGAAATAGTTGATCCAGAAGCTTCTCTCACTCGTGATGTTTTCGATTGAGGTTGTTGATGAAGTTCATTGTAATCAAATCGAATAATATCAGCTAGTCTTTCTGCCAAAGCAAATATAGTTGCACTTGGATTAGCATCTACTTGTTCGCCAAATGCTGAAGCATCACAAACTCGAACTTGACTTATATTAAACACTCGTAATCTTGTATCACTACACAATCCCATTTGACAAGTTGAAATCGGATGTAATGCAGTTTCTAAATGACCATCAATAAAAGTTTTCAAGGGAACGTCAATACCGGGATATACTTCTTCCGCAATTAGATTACCCCAATCAGTATTCTTAATTAAATATCGAAATTTTTCAATTGTAACATTAAATACACCATATTCATAATCACTAATCGATTCCCAATTGAAATTAATAATAGGTCTATGATGAATATTATCAGAAATTGCAGTTACATTACCTAAAAATGAAGGATCTTGTAAAATCATGCGCAGTGTTATCTCAGCCGGTGTTTCACGATGTCCATTGGAACCAAATCGGCATTGACGAGGTTCAGAATTGGTGAAGAGATCTGGTGAATGATAATTCGTGTTTGAGAAATAGATTTGCAAATCTGTAATGTTATCTTGTCGTAAACCAGTATTCAACGTAATTATCCATGATTTACTTCCATTTGGTATAGATTTCACATATCCAGTTGAGTTTGTTACTACATTTGGAAATGTTGAAGAAGCCTCTTTTAATCGAAGCACCATAGGAACAGCAACATGATCTCGAAGATTTTTTCCAACATGATAATTTGTAGCCACTAATGGAATACGAGCTTGAGCAAGTGCCAAAGGATCACCAATACCACTTACTTGAAGAAGATGCGGAGTTGCAAATGCACCACCAGCTAGTATTACTTCTTTATTAACTTTAATAGTATATGAACCTGTTGCATTTTGAATCATCACTCCAATAGCTTTAGGTGGTGAACTTTTATCGAACAAGATTTTTGTAACCATTGTTGCTGATCGAATACGAAGATTGCCACGATTGATGACTGATGGTTGTAGATAACCTTGAAACGATGTACCAAGAAAATAATCTGATTGTTCATCAGTTCTATTTTCTTTTCGATTGAAATAACGTTGAAACAAAGAACATCCAAGATGTTGTTGACCATTTATATCAGCATTATAACCTCCCCAAAGTTGACTAACATCTTTACAAATAGGTTCAAATAACTTCGATACATTAGCAAATTCAGGAAGATAAGTTGGATTCACTTGAAGTGGACCGTATTGACCATGATATTTTCGACAATCCTCATTGGATATACCAGTTATATTCTCATTATAATAGTAACAATAGTGATCTTCAATTTTTTTATAATATGGTAGTAAATCATCATATGTCCAATTAGCTGGCCATCGACGCATGATCGATGGAGATGGTCGAACATTGATACCACCATACAAACGAGCTGTACCACCAAGACCATTGAAACGTGGTAAATACATGATTTTGTTGTTGGCAGCTCGTAATGGTAAACTAGTAATGATTGGATCATGAGGAGATACAAAACTATACACTGGCAATAAATTGTTTGGATCTATATGAGTAGAACTCAATTCTTCATGTGGACCACCATCTAAAGCCAATACAGTCCAACTTGATACTTCTGATAATCGAGAAGTAATAACTGAACCACCAGCACCAAGTCCAACTACAATGAAATCGAATTCTTCAGAATAAATCGATTTCTTCTTATTAACTTTGACAAACTTGGAAGTCATAACAGCTCCCCAAACACAAGCACCCAATGCAAGCAATACTACCACACTAAAAGCTATTATCAACGTCTTTTTGCGTAGACATCGATCTTTGGATGAGTTTGATTCATTTGAAAGTGGTGCTATCAATACCATTTTTGTTATATCTGCACAATACAACAGAACAATTATAAAGCGTAATTGAAACTGAAAAAGTAGTAGACTTTTATAGTAATCAGACTAATAAAAGAAACTACCAAGTGTGTCATGTTTATTAGGAGGAAGTGTGGTTTACTTCCTATACTTTTTTTTCAAAGAATATATGATCATAAAATGACTGATTATCTTCTTTTTTATATTGTCTTACAGAGAGTGTCTATATCACACATTATCTTGAGTCACAACCGCAAATAGAAATAAAACCATATAAGTTACTCAATAATCCACTCAAAATTATCACTTTTGTCGTTCTGTAGCTGTTAATACAACCACTTTCGGGGAAGTTTCATTATTATACGAGTTTTATCATTTTGTATAGTCATGATATTTAGGCAATAATGAAACGAGTGTCATAAAACAATTAATTCTTTCCAAGATAAAGATGTGTCACAAATATAATATCAATATACACTGTCTTCCTAAAAGATATCATAAAGTGTCAATTGGAAGAAATGTTGGAAAAATTTATCTTATATATATAACCATCCTTTACTGCCATAATATCAGTTAAAACTAATTTGAAACGAACACTTCTAATTCAATGAAGAACCAGTCATCTATAACAATCAATGAGTCGATCGACGAAGTCGAACCAACAAATGAAGAAATAGAATCTTTGCCACATGTTTCTGATAGAATACCTGTAAATGTGTGGTTAATTATACTTTGTGAATTTGCTTATGGATTTGCATATTACGGTTTAAATGGTCAATTTCAAAATTACATACAATTTCCTGTTCCTGATCATAACGATGGACATCATCAACCAGGTGCTCTTAATAAAGGTCAAACAATAGCTACAAGTTTAACAACATTCTTTCGATTTTATTCAGCATTAACATCGATGGTAGGTGCTATTGTTGCTGATCAATATATGGGTAAATATAAGACAATTGTTATTTCTTGTTTTATTTATATCATCGGTTTATTGATACTTTTGTTAACATCAATTCCACAATCAATATCAATTGGACTAGGAATGCCTGGATTAATTATTGCAATGCTTTTTCTTGGACTTGGAACAGGCGGAATAAAATCTAATATATCTTCTCTCATGGCTGAACAATATACACGTAAAAAACCATTCAAAAAAGTATCAAAAAGAAATATTGAAGTGATTGTCAGTCCATCTATTACTACTGAATCGATGTTCCATTATTTCTATTTGGTAGTCAGTGCTGGCTCATTAGCATCGATTTTGACAACACTCATTGAAAAATATCATTCATTTTGGTTATCCTATCTTGTTCCATTCGTAGTATTTTTTATTGCCATCGTAGTACTGTTAACAGGACGTCATAGATATGTGAAAATCCCTCCAACTGGTTCACTTTTAGCCAAATCATTCAATGCTATACGAACAGCTTTTGTTCTTCGCCGAAAATATGGTAAAACATTACCACGGATGGCATCTATATTAGACTATAGTAAACTATCAACGTATACTTCAACAAAAGAAAATTTTAACTGGGATGATACATTCATTGAAAATTTGAAGCAAGCATTTAATGCTAGTAAAATCTTTTTATTTTTTCCTATTTATTCTTTGTGTACCAATCAAATACATGGAAATCTTATATCACAAGCAGCACAAATGAATACAGGTCCATTGCCAAATGATGTCATTAACAATATTGATCCACTTATTACTATTCTACTTGTGCCGATATTTAACAAAGCATTGTATCCAATGTTGAGAAAAATGAAAATTAATTTTCATAGTATTTTACGTATTACAATTGGCTTTTATATGGTTTCAGTTGGAATGGCATGGACAGCTTTTGTACAATCAAAAATCTATCAAACAAATCCAGATTTTAATTTTAGTAATCCATCTAATAATCTAAATGCTGCCTGGCAAATTCCATCGTATTGTTTCACAGCTCTATCACATATATTTGCTTCAATAACAGCTTTGGAGTATGCCTATGTCAAGGCACCATCTACAATGAAATCAGTTGTGACATCAGCCTATTTTATTACACATGCACTAAGTTCAGCCATGGGTTTTGTTCTCTTACCAGTTACTGTTGATCCAAAACTGATCTGGATGTACACAGCATTGGCATGTGTAGCATTTATTGCTGGAACTTTATTTCTCATATGTTTTCAACCAAGAAACGCTGTCGTGCACGTCAAAGAAGTTGAAGTTCCTGTTGCCATTGAACAAGAAAAGGATAATCAAGTGACATTTCCTACTCTAAGTTTTGTAGAAGATTAACATGATATAAGTTTAACATACCATATAATCCAGATTTCGCCCATGCGAATCAATCAAAACAAACTGTTATATTTTTTTCAAGAAAAGACAAGCTCAGCTTATTGGTACTCAACATTAATGCTAGTCTAGTATTGTGCTTGTAATAATAAGTAAAAAATTTGCAGTTTATTTTGTGAACGTTTTTTCTTTTTGGATTATTTTGTTTGTTAATAGAAATAAATTTTAGAACGCTATATTGAAAATATATGAATAAAGTACTTGAAGTTCTAGATGTAGAATATTTAGATAGTTCAAGTAGAATTAATAATAAAAACAAATGAAATAATATCAGATGTGACAAAGTCAAGAAGAGATAATGAGAGAGTGGGTATATGCAAATAAAAAGAATCAAATAATGAGCCCAATTCGGTACAACAGAGTCCCTTCATCCGTCGTAATTCAATATGAACTGTAAGACTTAGTAGATATGAATGTGAGATAAATAAAACAGTTTCACATCCAAATATACGAACAAATTTCATGTTCTGCAGAGTATTTAACCTGATTCGGTAAATCTCAGACTTCCTCAACTTTGATTGTACATGATTTTGTATGATATAAAACAACTATAGACAACTAGGTTTTTGCTGTTTTGGTGTCGACCGTAAGTGGTCATAAAAGTGAGTCAAAGTCATTTTATTCAGCCTTTTTCTTCCTTGTCAATATATGACACATCGCAAAATGTATTCTTTTGTATTTAGGAAGTACTTGAATAAGATAAGAAGCTACGATATAAATATAAAGCATCACAAAGCCATAATCACTTCAATTTCTTGAATCGGTAGACAATGATCAACATATTCACTCTATTAATCTGCATGTCCATCAACATACTAGGTAAGCAACATATAATGAAGATTACCATTGATTCGCATTGAAAACTCCTATAAGATTCATAGTATCCCCATGTCATTTCATTTTTTTTTCAGGTGCTGATAGTGCTATAGCTGCTCCACCACCGAGTCCTCTTCCATATTTTCTCTATCAACTTCTTACAGAAGCATCACCGTCACCTCTTCCAGAAATTCTTCCAATGTCTGATCGTGATGCAACAGATGGTTTTGTTCATTTAGCCAGAGCAATTAATATTCTTCCACTTGCAATGAAGAATTATAATTATACAGTTCAATTATGGGCGTTTAAATTAGATTATCAATGGATGATAAAAAATGGATATGACGTTAAATGGGAATGGTCAACGAGTAATTCAACGATCTATCCTCATTTATATGGAAATACAACAAAAAAAATGATTCTCGACGAAAGAACATGGACAAGACAACCAAATGAAGAATGGAATGCAACAAGTATCGCTGAAGATACATGGCTAACAGACGGTAGCTCCCGTTTAGCAGAGCAAATGACACTATTTTTTCCACTGATTTTGTTATTTTTAACCTCTTTCACATACACATGATTCTATTTTCTTTAAACGAGCAAATGAGAGTTAACATTCATTTTCAATAAACAAGAATTGATCTATTTTTACTAATTTTTATGATATCGCTTGATTTCTTTTCGAAAACTTTGTGTTTTGAGATATATTTTTTTTTGAAAGAAATCTTCTATAATGAATTAAAGCAAGAATCAAAGTTTTGATATTTCTTTTGTGAGAAAATATCAAATATTGATATAAGAAATCAGTTTCTTACCTTGTCGAATATCCTTTTTTTTTTACAAAACGATGTATTCAGTTTTAACTTTCGCAATTATAGACAACTGGCAGAGTCTTAGATATTTTACAACTTACTGCTCAGTTTATGAACATCAACATCGATCTATGAAATTCGCTCTTGACTAAAACTCATTTGTTAACGAATTGTTTAAACAAAATGTATTTGATGTGGAAGCACGGCAAGCTTGTGCAACAAAGACTCTGCTTTTTTCTACTTGTTCTACTATTGAACTGTTAAATAAAATTTTTATAAAAATTCACGCTTTATTTCTTGTTTATATTATTTGTATGCAAAATACAAAAAAAAATAGCAAAAATGTATGTGTCCTTTTTATATCTACTGTTTTGTTGTTTCTGCCATTGTATAGACAATCTTTTCAGCTGCCACCTTATTGTCCATCATTTTCTTGAATCCCTCTTCGACTCCATTGAGTCCACCTGGTATTTTAGTCACTTTGTTTGGTTTGACTAAACCTTGAGGCAATAAAACATCGGTGAGTAGTTGATAGAACCTCTCAGCAAATGCTTTATCCTGAGGTTTGGCTTCAAAATCTTGACCAAAGACATTCATTTTACGTCCGAAGATTGTATACATCAGGAGGCTGTGTTCTTTGATGTGAGAGGGAATTTCAGTTGACAGACCAGGTAAAACAGTAGCTACCTGTGCATTTGCACCTGTGAGTGTTGCGCACACTTGTTGAATTGATCTTTTTTCGGAAACACAATCGATAGCATAAGCCAAATTACCATTAGTGATTTGCTTGATTCGAAAGGCAACATTCGGATCCTTATAGTCAAAACATGCATCACTACCAAGCTCTTTCAAGTAACTATGACGAGCCAGTGACGCTGTTGTAACAACAAAGCAACCTGCTGCCTTAGCCAATTGAATAGCATATTGACCAACACTTGTACTGCCTCCCCAAACTAGAACAGATGTTCTACAAGTAGTAGGCGGTAAAGGCAAGCCTAGTTTGTGGAAGAGACCTAGAGCTGCTGTAATACTGGCAAGTGGAAGTGTAGCAGCTGCTTCTGGAGATATTGTTGATGGATAACGAAAGACAAGTGATGCTTCTTGAACAACGTATTCAGAAAATGACCCACGAATTCCAAATTTGGGATCAAGACATCCATGAACACAGCCAGCTGCACGCTCACCTTTCCTATAGTTTCCTAAAAGAAGAAATTGCAAACATGTTAAGAAAATACATTCATACAGTTCATCGAATTTCTTATTCACAACATCTGTGATTATATCGAATAGAATAGTCTCTTGTTTATGTATGTCATATCTTGAGAAAAGTTCATCTGTTTGAGCTGAATCTTTCAGGATATACAAAGAGCTATTGATGTGTATTATTTAGAAAGTTGAGGAGAAGCATCTACTAGAAAGATTAGTTTTGAAGTTTTTTTCTACGCTATGAGCCCTAGTTATAAGTAAAATAGAAGTTTGAACAAGAAATATCAATTCGTAAGAATTTTTCATAAGGAAGATTAATCTACTTAAAAATGTTCCTGGTTATTCCTAAATCCTAAAATTCGCGAATGACTTTCTAATCAGATAAGATCATTTTTAGTTACTGCAAAAAATCTAGCGAAATCAATGTATTTGAGAAGCTCCTTAAAGTGGCGAAAGGAAAATAATTGTGTACGAACCTATAGCTTCTTTGCCTATTTCAACGACTTCACCAGCAAAATCACAACCACCAATAGAACCGGGTTTGGCCAAGTCGAAGTGAACATGTTTCCAGTCTGTCGGATTCTGTGCAAAATGAGTCACTTTGATGAGAAGATCTTTTGATCCATACTTTGGTATCTAAATTAATGTTAAAGACGTAATTTTATATTTATTCAACAAACAGCGGTAGAGAATAATATCACTTACATCAAGTTTTTCGACAATCAGCTTCTTGTTTTCGCGTACAACTAAAGCTAGCGACATAATATTTGTATCTGTATGAAAAAAAAAGAAGAAAATAATGAGAAGAAACCGCTTTTGCATGTGCTTTTATTTCGAGACACGTTATCACTTCCTTTGTTTTATTACCTGCATTATCATGATGACGTACTATTTATTGTCGTTTCTCTGAAATTATGGAAGTGACTACGTCCTTTTATGACTATTCGTCGTCGAAACTTCAGTTATACAACTGTTTAATACCGCAGTATGACTAATAGCAGAACGACAAAATGTCGAGCTCATGACGCACTTAAATGACAAAATAAATCGAAGTTTCTATATTCAACCACCATAAAGGTATATGTGCACAATGTATAAGGGACACTCTTACCCTTGATCATTTAAGGAATGTATATCGATGATGAAAAACAATTCTCTATGAAAACATTCAATCTATTTTTAATAGCAATAGAAAGAAAAACAAATCATATTTTTTAAATACTACAAAGAAGTTAGTTGGGTGTGGGTGTAGATCACATCAAGACATGAATACCACCTGCATCCACCCTCGAGATGGTATGGATGAGACTATTAGGCTTATACTTCGGCGACAGCCACCACTCCCACACTCAACGAATTATGATTTTCTTTGTTTTAAAGTATACACAGGAGAAGCAACATGAGTAGTAACCTGTTATCTCATCAGTATGATAAAACAGTAGAGATTTACAGATATTACAGTTCCGTTTAGACCATATTCTATCTTATCAATAAAGGTAGACGTTTTTTTTGAGTATTGCGCTCTGTTAATGAATTTCATCTGTACCCTTTTTCTATCAAGTTTTCTACTTGTTTCAAGCAAGCAAGTGGTTGTATCTAATGTTATTCCACGATTAGATAAAAATGGATCCTATGTAGATGCACATGATGGGTGTTTAGTTAAATTCAATAATACTTGCTTCATGTATAGTACAGTTTACGGTAATTGTCATCAAGCAACAACCATTTGTGATGCTGTATGTGGTTATTTGAACAATACGTTTGCTTTATATATTTCAATAGATCTCGTCAATTGGACATTAAGTAGTAATAATTTTGTTCCTGAAGTCACTACAGATCATAACTACATTAATTATTCGATGCCAAATGTTGGTTATAATCGTCATACTAATCAGTATGTTATGGTCTATTGGACAAGCAAATATGGATTTAAAAATTCCATGGTTGCTCTTGCTGTTTCTTCAACACCTTTTGGTCCTTTCGTGAATGTTCCACCTTTAGTGATGCAAGGAGGAACAGTAATCAGTAGTACTACTGGCCTATTCGTTGACGATGATAATACAGCTTATGTTCGATATAATACACGTGATTCACCTTTGAGACATGTAAT